TCTCTCTCTCTCTCTCTCTCTCTCTCTCTCTCGCGCGCGCGCGCGCGCTGGCTACGGCCCCTAGCGACGTTGACTACTCTCTCCCTCTGTCTCACCAGGTCTCACTCGGCGCATGACCACATACATACATAGCAGGACTTCCACAACAAGCTCGAATGGAAATTGTGTTGTTGTTCAGCCGCTGCTGGAGTTTTATGTCTTGCTGTAGTTCTGAATCTTGAACTTTGGACTGGTGCTGGGCCCTCGGCTTGTTGGCCACAGTGACCACTTGACTTCCCAGTAGGCACGAGACTTTCCAGGACCGAGCTGCCATTTTTGGACAGTACGGTCAGTACCGGCAATTTGAGGACTGATAACAGTGATAAGTTAATAGATTCATTAAAAATTATGCTTTCATGCCAGAGGAATTTGTGCGACAGCAGAGCACATTGGTGGTGGTAGCAGCACTTAGCGTGGTACCGCACAATACCAATGGAATGAGAGCAGTGAATGCTAAGGGTGTGTGTTTTTCACTCTTTTTTTCGTCTCTCCTTGATTCACTGCTAACTGCGCTTTTATAGTGTGTTAATCAATACGCTTATGAGTCGGAAGTTATGACACACACTAATGATGACAGTTCAACCCAAGCATCAACATGGTAACAGCAAAAAGAAGGAAGTAAGAGTACGTAGTCAAAGACATCATACAGTGGAGAGGAGGGAAAAAGACAACAACGAGTCATGTCCCGAACGCGACTTTATTAAAATGATAAAACTTGAAGTCGGCACGACGGACTACAGTCGTCAAACTTATATCTAAAAGATACACCACAAGAAAACATAATCTCGGGGCCAAGTCAACTAGTCCAGGCACAAAGCCGCACAAATCCCAAAGAAAAAGCTGAGTCAGCTTAGTCCTAAAATCCAAAAAAATGACGAGACCTAAGCAGCTAGCCAAAGGTACACAGATTGAACCTCAGCGGTAGGCCAACAAGTAGAAATTCTTGTAAGCGCAAGAAAAAGTGTACCGTAGTTAACAAACAGTTTGCCACTTTAACATGTCTCAAGTTCACTCCATCCCCAGAAATAGCCAACTCATTCCTGAAGTCTGTCTACTGGAATACAACACCTACTCAAACGAGTATCCAAAAGAACAACCGTTTGATTCCAACAGAGGTATTAGAAAGAAAAACGTCACCAGCTCAACTCCAAAAAGGTACTGGAAAGCGCTTTTTTGAAGTTTTTCCAAAAAAGACAAAGACACTGTCACCGGTCAAATCCAGAAACCCCCCAGTGCAAATGTCCAGGACCTGAAAATTTGTGAAAAACTTAAAAAACACCCTTACCCCCATTATCACTTCGCACACCGACAAAGCCCCCTAACACAAAGGCATCCAGACCACCTTTTTTGTTCCCCCAGAAAGCGGCCCAGTTCGTCAGCACAGAAATCCATTCGTTCTATAAACCCCCGAACTTCTTTGAGAAGTTGATCAGAGCTCCGTCGAAGAAATCGTCAGGATACCCCCTTCTCGACAATTCACACTTCAGGGAAAACAGCAGAGGAAAAGCTAACCCTTCAGAACTAGAATATACCTTGGCCCGATGTAGAAAAGAACCAATAACCACGAGTTTCTGCTGCCAGTTGGAAAGAGAAGACAAATTTTGAATGTTCTGAAACCTCAATCTACCATTGATGTCGTCATTCTGATTCTTAATTAAGGGATGACAGATCACACCTGTCTTTCCAGTGCAGATGCTCAGCGCACGCATCCAAGATAACGCCTACTGTTTCCCTCATTTGTCTTCTCCAGTACTAACTAGTATCATAGCACTGGCTGAGAGGCGGTTAACGGAGGCCCAAATTTTCAGACAACTTGTCATGCCATTTATAACAAAATCAAAGGGTCATTTTAACCAAACTTGCTACCAATTCATAGAGTGGAGACCGGACTAACTAATTGCAAAACAAAACCGCAAAAAAAAAAAAAAAAAAAAAAAAAAAGGCTATAAAACAACAAGGCAGAAGTGCACTTTCATGCAAATTTCGCCAACATTCAATTTCAGAGATCTTGAGAAATTTCAGCAATCTCAGCAGAGGAAATTCCAATGCTCCAAATGAGACCAAATTTGGTACACAACAACCTTGTGCAAGGAAAATGAGTGATAGCGAAATCACAGAAATCCAGAATACAAAATCACATTCAAAGCCAGAAAGTCGAACGCTGTCCAGAGAGCAGATATGCACTGATATTCACCAACGGAGAACCAAAGCACCGAATCCAAATGTCAATGAGAGCATACGCTCGCCACCACCAACATATGTATCCAGAGCCCTTCCTCCTACTTGGCGCTGAGCGCCCAGACTATGATCACACAACTACTACCAGCCTATGAATTGACAATGCAACCTGTTGACGTCGGCAGCAACAACCGAAGTACATGAAGATGTCGACCGAAGTACATGAACATGTCGACCCTGTCGACCATCACCAAGACCAGGTACGTGCCCTCACATCCTCCTCCTCATCTCTCTCTCTCTCTCTCTCTCTCTCTCTCTCTCTCTCTCTCTCTCTCTCTCTCNCTCTCTCTCTCTCTCTCTCTCTCTCTCTCTCTCTCTCTCTCTCTCTCTCTCTCTCTCTCTCTCTCTCTCTACCTTGTCTTCTTCACCCACGTTTTCCGCCTCATACACGAGGACCACCGCCACCTCCCGCTGACTGTCCAAGCCGAGCCCAGCTATGGTCGGGCTGGCTATGGCGCTGCCCTCAGCAGTGCCCTGCCTCTCTTCGACGCCTGCATGCGCCTGCCTTGCAC